CAGACCCACAGACCCGTCACGGGCGGAGCGCACCACACTGACCCATATACCCACCACCAGGAGAGCAGACCACACTGGCCCACAGACCCACCACGAGCCTCCCCATCTCGAGCATGTGATGACCAGTGCATTCTGCCGACCGTGCCCCTTTGTCGTGTACTGTTGGTCTGCACCGTTGCAGGGACGCCGGGTGAAGCCGAGTCTGGGCAACTCGCTGTCAGGAGGAGGACCCGTCTGCGGCGACGGTGAGTGCACTCGGCAACCCATCCCATGGGGGGATCACCTGCGCTGTAAGCGTGTGATTCGCGCCACCAAGTCCGTGTGATGACCCTGTAACTGCCTCCCTGAACATGACCGCCTCCGGGCGAAACAGCGGGCAGCGTGTCGCCGTGCGATCTGCCTCGCGCACAAGTCGGCTGATTCACCGTCGTTTCACTCTTGGCTACGCCTAAACATGTGAAGAAAGCCGACTCCGGGCATATGCCGGCTGTTACCTCGACACGCACTTCTACACGCTAGCTAATACTCACTGAGAGCAGCTCCAGGTCGCCGACCGCCGTCCGAACGGCCCGCGCGGTAAACCGTCAGACGGGGACTTCAAGTAGTGGCTGTTGCGGTAAATCGTCAGACGGGGACTTCAAGTAGTGGCTGCTGCGGTACATCGTCAGACGGGGGACTTCAAGTAGTGGGCTGCGCGTACCCGTCGGCCGGAGATTGCACGCGTCGACGTGCTCCAGCCGCGGGGACATGCGGCTGGCCGGCCTCCACTTCAAGGGGCGGATCCTAGAACCTGCCTTGGATGGGCTTAAACTAAAAAATAGGGTGCTGACTTTAGAGCACTTGCCCGGATTGAATTTACTTTTGTCTGAAACTTAGCCATCTTGGGGGATGACCGGACTCCATCTCGATCCGCTACTTGGTTCCATCTCAGGCACGCGCCGCTCGCGCGAGCCGGGCCGCCGCGCCGTTTCTGGCGCGGCGTGCTAGAAAGCCGCCGACCGGTCCTGTGACGGCGGCTCCAGCCACCAGCGCGCGCCGCCGTGTCCATATCAGAGGCCGCTGCGTCGACAGGCGGCCGTCACGGCGGAAGCCAGCCCCTCGGAGGCTGCCGCGGCGGTCAGTGAGCGGCGGCCGGTCAGGGTCCGCCGCAGGCCGGGCCGGGGCGCCGCGGCGGCGCAGGTGCGCATGGGCGGCGGCGGGGGCGGCCGCGCTCGGGCGGGCCCACCCGCAGAGGGAGGGGCGCGGGCGTGGCGCCGCCACCGGGCGGATCGCGCCCGGCTGCGCGGCCGGTGGTGCAGCACCAAGGCTGGGCGCCGCTGCCGGACCCGGCCCCGTTCGCCTTGAGGATGAGATCTCGGCGCCGCGCGCGGTCGACGCGCTTCCTTCTCGCGACGGGGTGCAGCCGTCCGCGAGGGGCCGCCCCAGCCGGAGGGCGCGGGCCGCGCCGCCGCCGCCTCTCCGCTGTCGGGTCGAGGTGTGTGGCTTATCGCCACGCCACGATCGCGGCCGGACGCCTATCGCGAGGTTGGCGAAACCGCGCTGTCGGTCTGCAGATGTTCTATGTAGCATTGGTTCCGTACAACTACCGTAGTGCGTGAGTGGCAGATGTTCCACGTACAGATGCTTTGTGGTTCGTACACGCTTTCGTGCGCCAGATTATATCCCATATTCGTCGTTTCAGGCCTCCTATTACACAGTTATGTCCAGCAATCTGAGTGACATTAGACGGGATATACAGAGACGGGGTTTCGCTCCCAGATATTGATCGCAGCTACCTCGTTAAAAAAGGGAGTCGGTTTCTCCGTCGTTTCCTGGCCTACTGGAAACCCATTGAAAGCGCCGTTGAGAGCCGAGGGGCGGGTGCTTCCCATCGGGCGGATAAAAAGCCTCTGGCCTCTCCCAGTTGGGTAAACAGGGTGGACGCACCGCCGCCGCATCCACCCGACCCCGACAACCGCCCATGCTGATGGTCGGGGCGGACGCGCTGGGAGCGGCGCAAACTCACGAACCGGCCGCCACTGCCGGGGGGCTTGTGCAAGGGTCAGAGGGCAGCGGTTTGCGTCACGGCGCGCGGGAGCGGCGGGCCCCGCTGGGAGGGCGCCGTGCGGCCGTGGGGGCGGCCCGTGCTCTCCCCGCTCACCCGCCGACCTTTCGGCTGCACCGCGAGGCGCCGCCGGGCCCGCCAGCCGGCGATCAGCGCGCCCCGCTCGGCCGGGGGAGCAGCGCTGCCGCAGGAACAGCGCCAATCCCGAGGTCGTTTCGAAGCTCAGCATGCCTTTTAGTGAAGCAGTGTGCGTGAGACTCGCGTCGAGTATATCTGCGTCAAACGCTTTGGCGGTCCTGTGCCCATGGTCAGGTATCCCGGGAGAAGGCGAGTGCGGGGAGATGGTGGGGGGTGGAGGTCGGGGGACTTGAGCATGGGAAGTCGCCGAGTGGAAAGCAGACCAGACAGGTACCGTTGCCTGCCTGTCTGTCAGCCGTGGAAGGCTACTGACATAGGAGGAAAGTACTTGGACATTGCCATATTCTTAAAGCCTGGTTAAGCACGCGTCCACCTAGCAGTAACTACCCAGCGGTCAACAACAGAGCCTTATTGGGTGCGTTTTTCCTGTCATTTTCTACATGCAGGCTAGTCTGAGGTTAGGCTGATATAATCTTGTCTCATTTAGTTGAAAGCTGCCGAGTGCACCTCCTGAGCCCCGACTGAGGCGACCAATGGTTGGGTGGTTGTGCGATTTGCAATCAAACGGCGTAGATCTGCGCGGCTTTCAACAGCGGATTGCGGAATGAATGATAAGAATCGCACCGTTGCGTCGATAAATGCTTGCGTGCATGTACCCTGTACCGGATAGTCATAGCTTCTCCTGCAACATTGCAGCACGCTAATCGTTTGAATGCAAAATCAAGCCTGTTGCAATGTGTGTGTGTTGTGTGTGTGGTGTGTGTGTGTGGGGTGGGTGGGTGGGTGTGGGTGTGTGGTGTGTGGGTGTGGTGTGGGT